AAGGAATAGCAGTCCTTGGGAGACTTCTTTTGATACCGGGGGCAGGGATCAATTTGTTAGGCAGGGATCTGATTACCAAACTATCAATTCAGTTAATACCTCAAGGAACCCGAATTATCCCTACAAAAAGGATACTAGTGTTAAGAGAAGGGGAGGAAGAAGAAATTGATTGTGTCTGGGCACAATCCCATAATTGGGGGTGGGTAAAGATCACCCCAATTAGAATTACATTGAGAGACCCAATAGTGATAATCAGGGTCCAACAGTATCCCATTCCTCTGGAAGGAAGGAGGGGTCTCCAGCCTGTTATTCAAGGACTTATAAAGGATGGGCTGTTGGAACCCTGTATCTCCCCTTTTAACACCCCAATTCTACCAGTCAAAAAGGGGGATGGATCCTATAGGCTAGTACAAGACTTAAGAGAGATTAACAAGGTGGTCCTCTCCTCCCATCCAGTAGTACCCGACTCTTACACCACTATGGGAAGAATTCTTGAAGATAGTCGGTGGTTTAGTGTTATAGATTTGAAGGATGCATTCTGGGCTTGCCCATTAGACCCTGAAAGTAGGGATATTTTTGCCTTCGAATGGGAGGACCCAGAACCAGGAAGAAAGCAGCAATATAGATAGTGTGTTTTGCCCCAGAGTCACCATATTTGTTTGACAAGTATTAGAAGCCATATTAGAAAAGTTTATAACACCTCCTGAAGCCCGAGTGCTACAGTATGTGGATGACCTGTTGGTAGCAGGGAAGAAGAGAGAGGAAGTCAGTCGAGCCTCTACTGAATTACTAAATTACCTAGGGAAAGAAGGGCTCCAGGTCTCAAAAGGGAAACTACAATTTGTGGAAAGAGAGGTTAAATATTTGGGACATTTCATTAGTGAAGGAAGTAAAAGATTGGATCCTGAGCGGGTAGCAGGAATCCTCCAAATTGAACCCCCAAAGACTAAAAGAGTGTTATGGAAGTTCTTGGGGCTAGTGGGCTATTGTAGGACTTGGATAGACTCGTATGCAATATTAACAAAACCCCTGTATCAGCACTTATCGGAAGAAGAACCCAATTCTGTCCAGTGAGCCAATAGAGTTTTTGTCAGTTAAAAGAGGCCCTGGTATCTCCACCTGTTCTAGCCTTACCCTCTTTAGAAAAACTTTTTCATTTATATGTCAATACTGAAAGAGGAATAGCTTTAGGAGTTTTAGCACAAATGAGAGGAGGGCAGAAAAGACCTGTAGCCTTCCTCTCTAAAGTCCTGGATCTGGTAGCCCGAGGATGGCCTTTATGTATACAAGCTGTAGCTGCGATGGTTATCTTAGTGGAAGAAGATAGAAAACTTACCTTTGGGAGAAGCCTGATAGTTAGTGTACCACACCAAGTTAGGTCTATCTTTAATCAAAGGACCGGAGGTGGTTAACAGATTCCCGGATCCTTAAGTATGAGGCCATATTACTGGAAAAGGATAACTTAGTGTTGACCCAAGACTCAAATCTGAATCCAGCCTCTTTTCTTACTAGCACAGGATCAAGGGAAATAGTCCACACTGTTGTTTGGAAACAGTGGATTTTCAGACAAAGATTTGGGAAGACCTTCAGGAGTCTCCCACTCCTGGAGCCAGAAACCTTTTCATAGATGGGTCCTCCTGAGTGGTAGAAGGAAAAAGGAAAAATGGATATACTATTATTGATGGGGATCAGCTTGCCTTAGAAGAGGCAGGGGGATTGCCAAAAGACTGGTCTGCTCAAACTTGTGAATTGTACACTTTAAATCAGACTTTAAAATTACTAGAAGGAAAAAGTGGGAACATTTTTACAGATTCTAAGTATGCCTGGGGGGTGGTGCATGTATTCAGGAAAATTTGGGAAGAAAGGGGAATGGTGAATAGTAAAGGCAAGGGATTGGTTCATTCCACTTTGCTAACACAAGTATTAGCGAATTTGTTGTTAACAGAGGCAATTGCTGTCATACATGTTAATGGGCATCAACCCGGCCACACTTTTAAAGCTAAAGGAAATAGATTGGCAGATGAGGAAGCAAGGAGAGCTGGGGATAAGACATCTGACCAAGGTGATTCAATGTTAGTCCTAATCCCTTCTTTCCCTCCGAGTCTACCTCTTCCCTCCTTTTCCAAGGAAGAAGACAAGGCCCTAGAGTTGGGGGCCCAGAAGGGAAGCCAAGGGAACCTGGTTCCTCCCCGATGGTCGGGAGGTATTAAACAAGGCAAGTATGAGGCAGTTGTTACAACACCTCCACCAAGGCAGTCATTGGGATGTACAGAATATGTGTGATGCAGTTCTAATCCGGTATGTGTCTCCTGGTCTTTATACCCTGAAGAGGCAAATAGTGGAGGGATGCCTTGTGTGTCGAAGGACAAATAAGTCATTTCCCACAGGAGGAAGACCCCTGGGAATTAGACCTTTCCAAAGCATCCAAGCTGACTTTACCGAGCTGCCCCCAGTTGGCCACCTCAAGTACTTGCTGGTCATGGTTGACCACCTGACCTCGTGGGTAGAGGCATTCCCCACAACCCAAGTGACGGTTTCAGCTGTCAGCAAGAACCTTGTAGGACAAATTCTTCCTAGATATGGGCTAGTGGAGCAGATAGACTCGGATCAGGGAACTCATTTCACTTCCAAAATTCTTCAATTTTTGGTACAAACTTTGGATATTAACTGGGAGTTTCATACTCCCTGGCACCCTCCTTCTTCTGGCAAAGTAGAAAGAATGAACCAAGAAATTAAGAGACAGCTCACTAAACTAACCTTAGAGACTCAATTACTTGGACCCGATGTCTACCCCTAGCACTCCTTAGAATCAGAACAAAACCCCAGAGGAATATTGGATTATCCCCATATGAGCTTCTTTTTGGACATCCATATCCCGGGGGAAGTGGCAAAGGAGAAAACTGGGACCCTATATTCAATTGTAAGGATAGATTTTTAAGGAATTATATACATTCTCTGGTGAAGCATTTAAATGTGTTACAGCATAAAGGGCTGATCACCCAGACGCCACCTTTGGGGGTCCCAGTTCACAAACTCCAGCCTGGTAATTGGGTCCGGACTTGGAAGGTTGACATATCTTGGAACAGGGATACTATATCAAAGACTAGCTAGAGGGTTATCAGTGAATCAGGAAAAAACAAAATCCCTTATCACATCCAAACTAGTTCCTACTATTCCATACAGATTCTCCTTTCCTCCTTTCCAGCTCACCACTGAACCAGTTATATACTATGACTCATCCTATAAGCACAAATGATGTATGGTAATTGTGGGAGAGGGGTAAGGAAGCTAATTAAGTCAAGCAGATAATCTAAAACTCTGTTTTTATCTGGACAAAAGCTTCAACTTCCTCACTTACTGCATGTGAGTATTGGTTCTTTTTATTTTCCTTTTAAAGGCTTTGATGGAGGAGCTACTAAGAGTGAAATGTTAAAGGGGATGAGGGAAAAGCAAAAAAAAGGTATATGGAGCCCTGGATTAGATAATCCAGGATTAAGGATAGGGGCCTATCCCTAGGCATCATGGAAAAGGAGATTAGATAGATTGGATGAACAGTGCTTGTATTTTGATAATTAAATTTTATTACCATAGAATGGGGATGGAACGGCATGTTCCATTTGAGGGCTTAAATATAACAGTCTTTGCCACCTCCCAGACTCTCATTTCCTCTCTTTTTTCCCCCTTACCTTTTGGAAAAAGCACTGGGTCTAGATCAGGAGTGGGGAACTTGTGGCCTCAAGGCCATATGTGGCCCTCTAGGTCCTCAAGTGTGGCCCTTTCACTGAATCCAAACTTGACAGAGCAAATCGCCTTAATAAAAGGATTTGTTCTGTGAAACTTGGACTCAGCCAAAAGGCCACATTCAAGCACTAGAAGGTAGCCTTGAGCCCAAAGATTCCCATCCCTGGTCTAATGTCAGGAAGACCTGAGTTCAAATCTGTCCTTTGGCACTTACTAGCTGTGTAACTCAAATCACTTAACTTTTGTTTGCCTTACTTTCCTCAATTGTAAAAAACTGCAAATGGGGATAATAATAGCATCTACCTTGCAGGATTGTTGTGAGGATCAAATGAGATAATATTTGTAAAGTACTTAGCATAGTGTCTGGCACATAGTAGGTGCTATATAAGTGTTTATTCCTTTCCTTTCTTCCTACCAAAGCCAAAAAAACCCAGATCAAACTAAAGACATCTTCCCCATCAAACTCAGGGGGAAGGAATGGTAACCAAGAAAGAGAAAAAGATACTGGAAAATCCTGAAAGTTTCTATGTAGCCTTAAAAATAAGTTCATGGGAGTCACCCTCCACTAGAAAATTTCCCTTCCATCTTGAGTCTTCATTATGGTTAACAATAAATCCATGGAGAAGGGCACAGATTTCTGGTATGTCACTCTTGCTTTTTCTGAGGACCGAGGAAAAGGGAGATGGATACTTGCTTAGGCTAAAGAAAATACCTCGAAAATAAAGGATAAGGTTGTTTTCCAATGAAGCTGTCTATTTTTAAGCCATGCAAACATCTCTCCTCTTTTTCATCTACTCCATTTCTAAGCAGATATTTTGAGAAAGGGTGACGCTAGTAAGAAATAGTCCTTTTCTTCCTATTCTGCCCACCCCTCAAAACAAACACACACACACACACACACACACACACACACACACACGCCCCTGATGCTTAAGAGCCAAAAAAATTCCAGCAGGGGCAGAAGAATGGTCTTAGATCTCTCCTGTGGTTGCTCTGATCTACAAAATCAAGAGGATCCACTCTTGTTCCAGAAACAATCACAAGCTTTAAATTAACTTCTGGTATGATCAGATAATCTTGGAGAGCCCCACAGCAGGTTTAGGGTGGTGAAGCTTCATAGGATTACAGCATGATAAATTTAGAGCTGCAAGAACTAAAGAGATCACACACTCCCATCCCCACCCCCACACACATATCCCTTTGTGGTAAATACAGAGATAAGTACTGAGTCAAGGCAATACATATAAAAAGGAACTGACCTGTGTCTCCAGGCTGGTGAAGGGACTAGGGGGTGTCTCCTAAAAGGTAGAAAACAACAAACAAACATAAACATTAGAATAATAAAATAAAAATTTAACACACAATAAACCATAAAATAATATTTAATCTCCTTGAAAACCTAAGGGTCATGGGGTCACATTTCTTTATCTCCACATTTCAAAGTAGAGAGATGTTATAGATGAACCAAATGCCATACATGCCCCCAAATATCTTCGAATGAAAGCAAGACTTCCCTTTCAGAAGGTACTACCCTCACAGATATGCTGTCTAAAATCAAATGAATAGGTGACCTTACCAAACCCTTTATAATTAGAAGAGAGAAAAAATAAGGGAGAAGAGGAGCTCTTTGGGTAATGCAAAGTGGGTCTGAGTCCCTGGGTACCACAGAAGATAGCACTAGGATCCTGGTTGGAAACCAAATGGAACAAAGACAGTTACCATCAAGTCGTTGTTCTAGTTAAAGGAAAACTAAATGCTTTGTCTTTCATTAATATAGAATTAATTTAGCATGTGCAAGTACATGCACATACATACACACACACACTCTCTTGATGCTTAAAAATCTATTGGAAAAATCAGTAAGACAAAGCTGGATAAAGGAAGAAGAAATCAGGGTCTACTAAATGCTAATGCCTTAAGAGATTAAGTTACTGTTTCCATGGACTAAGGCTAGGCTAGAGAAGGCAAGGGTGACCTTTCTCCTTCCCTCCACACCACCCCTCATACACACCAGAGCCAATTGAGTGGAAAAGCTTGGTGGTAAATCCTGGGGTCATTAAACTTACCTCTTTTCTGGAGCACAAAAAGGAAAGAGGATCTGATGTTTTACAATAATAAGGTGACAAGCTGAGATTCACAGGGGAAGCATTCAATTGTATGTGGAAGGCACATTGATACTTTTGTCTGCACCAGCCCCAGAGACCTCATCCCTAATTTCACCAGGCTCAGGGCAAGATAGAAAAATCTGCATCCAGGCTGTCTCTGAAGGTAACTGGGCACTGAGGGCCAAACCATGATTGAGATTTTGCTTCTCTATATAAGACCATTAAATGCTGCCCATCTCCTAGGCTGCACAAACCCACTGGCCCAGCTCATAAATAAGAAGGAATTGGAATGAAATTATCACTCCTACCCTGAAAAACAATACTTTACACTGTATGATTATGGCTCAATAACATCATATTTCTAGCCCTGCTTCCAATGAACATGGGATGGCTTAAAACATAATTTGCAGGCTAATTGGTCAAAACCTTTTCAAGGATAATTCAACTAGTTAAGAATAGTCACCTACCAAATTCCAAGGTTCGGGGCAGCTAGGTGGAGCAGTGGATAAAGCTCTGGCCTTAGAGTCAGGAGGACCTGAGTTCAAATGTGACCTCAGATACTTGACACTAGCTGTGTGACCCTGGGCAAGTCACTCAGCCCCAATTGCCTCACCAAAAATAAATAAATAAATAAATTCCAAGGTTCCAGGGGAAAACACAGCTTTTAGCTTTCACATTAGTAACCTTTCGCTGTGAGTGCTTTCCCTCCAAATTTTACATATATATACATATAAAATATATACATACATATACATTCATTATATAGATAACAAATTAATATATATATATATATACACACACACAAAATTTGGTGAGGAAGAGAGGAGAGAGGAGGAAAGAGTGGGAATAGGAGAAAGTGGGAAAGGGAGAGGATTTATTAAGCACTTATTATGTGCAAGGCAATGGACTAAGCACTGGGAATACAACAAACAAGCAATATAATCCCCGACCTGGAGAGGCTTACATTCTAGCGGAGGAAGACAATACTTAAAGTGGTGTTTGAAAGTGTGGGAGATACAGGCTGTGCCATGGTAACAAGATGGCAGCAAAGTGGTAAAGAAGTCACAAGATAAGGCTAGGAGACTCAGAGACACAGTTCTGGTGGTAGGGAGATAAGGATGATGGCTGAAAAGCAGAAGATATTGATTGTATGGAGATGGCCCCAAAGTGATCTGGAGTTCTGACTACAGGCAAGATGAAACAAAAGTTCACCTATCAGAGCCAAGAGATTTTATATGATCCTTATTCCTGGGCATCTGTCATCTAAGTATATATTATTCCCCCCCCCAATAGAATGTAAGTTCCTTGAGGACAGATGCTTTTCCCATCTACTTAACACAATGACTGGCATATAATAGGCATATTATGCATGCCTATTGAAATGAGTTGAAGAGAGATAATACCTCACTCTTAATTTTCATTTCACCCCAGACATACGAGGCATCAGCTTCCCATGGGCTGACTTCCTTGAGAAGCTATAGGTAAGGACTTTTCAACTGTGTTGATAGGTTGGTCTTTTTCCTAGATACAGTGCCAAGGACTGTCTTTTTATTTTTTTTCCATTCAGAGATCAGAACCCTACCAGCTCTTCGTCAGGGATCCAAAGCTCATTTAAAGAGCTTCTGAAGAGCAAAGGACAAAATGATCTATTTAGCTTGTTAATTAAATGGTTAGGAGAAAGATAATATCCTTGCAAGCAGCCATATCATTAGCACTTGGGATTAACTTTCCAACAAAATCTTTCCCTGCACACCATCCGAAAGCAAAAAGGACACTAGTAAAAGCCTCATCCCCCTAGCCCAGGTACTCCTGCAGGGTCTCACTTTCTACAACATCCTGCTTAATTAGAAAACCTAACGAAGTAGAACCAGGTCAATGGTGCTGTCTATTTAATCCATCATGTCTGTCTAAATTAGAAGTCTTCAGTTTACAGTACAGTAACTCTTATCTGACAGATTAGAAGCCCCCAGAGACCAAAGGAAAGTTTTTAGTACCCAGAGATGCTGCCATCAATTGCCATTCACTCTCCCACCAAAGCCAGCCTACCACATGTGCCAGGAACCATTAAAACAGTTTGGAACAAGGACAGGCTTCTCTCAACCATCTCTCATAATGACTCACAACCAAGAAAAACAAAGGGGGAAAAGAGTGCTTTACACACACATACAAATGGTAACAGTAAACAAGTCTGGCAGACATTCAAATGCTAGTCCCTATGACACAGAAAAGTCATTTCAGTCAGCCAAAAGATGGGAACACAAAAAGGATCATAGGATTAGGAGCTGAGGGACCTAACAGATCATTTAGTCCAACCCTATCATTTTATAGCTGATGAAAATGAAGCCTACAGTGGTGAAGTGATTTGTCCCAAGATCATACAGGTGATAATAATAATGGCTAGCATTCATATTAATTTTTTTGGTTTACAAAATGAATTGCAATCATCTCATTTAATTCTCATGGCAGCACTGTGCACAGAAAGATTAAATTAGCAGAATCTGAACCCAAGTCTCAAATAAGTCAATATTATCTTGTTCATTGGCTATAGACACATTCCTGATATGTTATATTGTAGTAAGAAATTATTGTTCTCTCCATGGCTGACCTGTCAAGACCTCAGTCGGTCTATGACTTGGAATTGAGCCCTCATGGCCAGACTACTCGAACTCTGGCAAAACTCAGGCATACAGAATACAGTGGCTGCTGTTGCACATTACCATGGTTACCTGAACAACCACTGGCCAGTCTGCAGGGGCAAAAAGAAAAGTTAAGCTACTGGAATGGAAATGCTTTTGACTTGCTCTTTCTTCCAACGGAAAATACAATCCTACTACGGGTCAACGAGCACTTCTATCAACAGAGAAAAATAACAAAGAATGACATAAGATCACAACTTTAGAAAAAATACTGTTCTTTGCTTCTTAGTATCTAATTCTTGAAAAAGGAAATGGCCCCAAAAAATAGTGATTAGGGCACATTATGGCCAAAAGCAAAGTATTGCCTGGAGTACAAAACAAGGAAGATTGCATTAAAAAAATGGAAAAAAAATAATAAACACATACTTACTGAATGCTCTATGACAGGAGAAGAATACAAAAAGTACAAAGTATTCTGTTCACACTTTTATTCCCCAAACTAATTGTTTAAAATAGGAAGTGTAAAGCCCTAGGTTTAGGGGTTAAGTAAATGAAAAATGATGGTATTGCACAATCTTTGTTTTATGGAGCAGGAAGGTAGACTCATTAAATATTTTCCTTCAAGAACACGTCCCTATCAAGGCAATAGGCCGCATTTAAACCAATAAATTTTTGTAAGGAAAATATGCAGTAAAGCACAATAAACGTGTTGTAGCTTTTATTTTTTAATTAAATTTTATTTTTTCCTAACACATTAGTCATAAAAAATATATCTGTCTTCTTTTGATGGGAAAATAAGCATGACTTTGCATGTCCAGTTAGTATTAAGGAGTCACTTTAAGCAACATTTTTACTACAAATCTGTTGAAATCTTGACTCAAACCTTCTGAACAGGGTTTCCATGTCAAATCTAGCTGATCATAATTTTTGGCAAACCATTTCACTTCTCTGAGGTTCAGTTTCCTCATCTATAAAATAAGGTGGTTGGACTTAAGGTCTCTTGCAGGTCTGAATCCTATGTAATGAGAAACTAACATAAAACTTTTTCCAATCTTGAATCCACAGGTTAGTAATGGAAAGGACCTCAAAAATCATCTTGTTCACCTCCCTCCTTTTACACATGAAACAGAGACCACCAGTGGAAAGCAATTCAACCAAGGTCACAGAGCAAAGAAATGGGAGGATTAGAACTCTTTCTAAGTCATCTTAGTTATGCATATTTATATAGTTCTACAGTTCTCATTGTACCAACTTTTCCTTCTACCAAGCTGGCCTTCAAAGCTGAAAGGGGTTCTTTGTTCATCTGATAATAGACCACTCTTATCATTCATAGTCTAACTGGTATACTTAACCAGATAACAAGTCTGTCTTATTTTGTCCTGCTAAATTATGAGCTCCTTGAGAGTAGGAACCCTTTGACATTTTTACCTTAGTACCTCCTCTAGGGCCTACTAAAATCACTGCATGTGTTCATATTTAATACATATCACTGTATCCAATATTTTGTTTTACTTTTTTTTTTCCCCTAGAAGTAACCTGTCCCAAGAAAGTT